TCACTTCAGCCATGGCTGCCAATTCTGCTGTGCAGTTGCTGACAGTAATCTGTCTCGAGCTAACCAAGGAGGATAAGGAGACGTTCAAAATCAAATCTGGAAAGCGTCTTGTGGTTCTCTGAAGACGTTTCATCAGTGCGCGGGATGAAAGCAGAAATTGCAGAACGAGAAAAGTTCAGCACAGTTCAAATCTGACGAGTCAGGTACACTGACGCTCTCTTTCGTTCGACGCCACAAGGATCCCCTGTTTGGCTGGCCATTGCTGCCAGTAAAGACGTTCGGTTTCATCAGAGCGAGGGATGAAAGCAGAAAGCGGAGAAAGAGAAAAGTTCAGCACAGTTGCAATCTGACGAGTCAGATACACTGACACTCTCTTCCGTTCGACGCCACAAGGATACCCCTGTTTGACTGGACAAGAGCTGCCTGTACCACCGTGTCAAAAGGCTGTACATGGCAGGACGATGACTGAGGTAAGGAAGCTTTTACTCCGACGGTTTCGATTGGTCTGCTGAGCTGTTCTGTCGTTATGCTTGAATTTTTTTTTCCATTTTCAAGGAGCGTATCGCGTTTGTTTGATGTTGCTTAAATGAATGCCCTAAAAGTAATCAACCACTTCGTAATAGTCCTCAAGGACTGCAAGGACTTTGCATCAATCGTATAATGATCGTCTAGCTATCATCAATTATTATTTTATTTCATGAGAAATGTATTTTTATCCCTGTGATAATTATGTGAACTCGTACTCCACGACACTCTTCCTGTAGTATGATGTCAAATACAATGGGATCCACAAACGCAGTGCCAGTGTACTAGTAGTAGTAGGACTAGGAGGATTGCTTGTATGCCAATGACAAGAAAAAGCTTCTCAAGCTAATACTCGTATTCCCTGAAGTAACCGTTTTGATGTCACGAACATGACATTGTGTCAGTGAAACTGCCTCGTGACAACAAATCATTGCATTTCCATCTTGGGGAAGACTGACTGACAGCAACGCTGTACAGATTGTTCAAATCATCTCATTTCAATTTAGTTGCAATGAAGTGAAACACTGTGTACACTACATGTATGTTGGTGTGTCTGTGCGTCTTGAGTGTGCACAAACAATCTTATTCTTCGTATTACTAATAGATTATTGTCCCCACCATCACCTGTTCACAGGTCTTTGAGTGGATTGATTTTCATTGAGCATCACATTCGTTGAGAACTTGGTAGTTGTGTGCTCCCATGCATCATTACGGTAATAAGCGTATCCTTGTGCTATCTATTTGTTGCAGGTGTGCTGATCTTCAGAAGCTTGCGGAACTGAGTGCTGCTGAACATTTGCATGGCCATGAGCAATGGTGAAGCTTACTATTGCACTCTCAGCATGTGCTAGTATTATGCTGACCACTGCACTATGTTACTCTCTTACACTACTACGTGTATGTAAACGTGCGTGTACCCGTCCCCGTACGCATTCGTTTCGTATAATTATTTGTTATCCCTCTTGACTTTACATGTAAATGGCTGGACGTTTGCATGGCTGTTGGAGTTGCGTGTGTATTGTGTCTCTACTCTTTTCTTGGTGTTTTCTTGGCGTTGTATAAGTTTGTGTGTGTGTGTGTGTGTGTGTGTGTGTGTGTGCCGGCAGCAGGACCTAGCCAGACATTTGCGGTCCTGCTTGTGATCCGTGTCCCGTTTTCTGGTCCCCTTTCCATAGGGGTGACACTTGCCCCTCTGGGCAGTCATGCTGCTAGTAGTAGTAGTAGTAGTAGTAGTAGTAGTAGTGTGTGTGTGTGTGCGCGCGCGCGCGCACAATAATTTGAAAACAAATAATTAATCCTGGGCTCTCCATTATTCTCTTTCGATTCTTGGTTTTTTTCTAGGTATTTTCTTGGCGTTGTGTGGGTGTGTGCATGTGTGTGTGTGCGTGCACAATAATTTGGCAACACTACATGATTGAGATATTGTAATTTGCAGCGTCTGCGAAGAGACCACTTGATTTGAGGATGGTGTTTGTAGGGTTTTTCATGTAATGAAGTGGCTGCAGTGGCGCCTCAATACATATTTTTTATCTTGAGAAGTGAATGATGTAAAGGATTAAAGGGAGAGGCCGCATTCTGGTTAATATTCACTGCTTACAGCAGATCCTATGTCTATTTTCGAACTCGATAGGGGATGCCTAATTGGCTGGACTTTATACAGGGGGTGTTGTCCACATAAAGACTCTTTATAGTTGATTTCAAAGTTTGGACTCCGTACAGTTGATTTTGGACCAATGGACTCTATATAGGGGTGATGCCAATTGGCTGGACTCTATACAGGGAGTGATGTCCATCGAAACTTTGAGCTCACAGTTGATTTCAAGTTTGGACTCTGTACAGTGGATTTTGGACCAATGGACTCTATATAGGGGTTGGACATCATATAGGGGCTGGACGCTCTACTGAGTCCAACATATATGCCTCCTTATTATGAAGACGACTTCTGGCAGTATAACATTTAAAAAGAAAAAAGAGAAAAGAAAAAAAAGAAAATATAAATGCAATGAATATAACTAAATGCGCACTCATATCACAACCATGGGGACGAATCATGTATTCCAGAACGTTTTCTTGTCACAATTATCAATGGAATTCGTGACTAAAGAGAATGATGAAACTACAATAGGATTTATACACTTGCAGTGGAACAGCGAGGATACAAGCATAGTAAGAAAAATAGCACAAACCTAGGAACAATTTGCACAGGTAATAAACTATAGGTTTATTACCTGTGTCTTACTATGCTTGTATCCTCGCTGTTCCACTGCAAGTGTATAAATCCTATTGTAGTTTCATCATTCTCTTTAGTCACGAATTCCATTGATAATTGTGACAAGAAAACGTTCTGGAATACATGATTCGTCCCCATGGTTGTGATATGAGTGCGCATTTAGTTATATTCATTGCATTATTAAGATTATTGTCTCCACGTCGCCTTTTTAAGAAAATATAAGATCAAGAATGTATAGACTGAGCATACAGCTAGCCGGACACTGAGCATACAGCTAGCCTCGGCATGTACAGAACATCAGGATTACTAGTACTCAAGACAGGGGGGGGGGGGGGTGCTGTTCACACTAAAAAAATCTACAAAAAGTAAATAATTATCGTGTCCGTTCCCGAAGGGAACTCACGACGGCCGCAAACACCTGGTAAACCCTAGCGGCAGATGCAGCGCCTAACGGTGGGGGTGATTGGATAAGTCTTACAACCACTGGCACAAGTGCCGAGAACGACCCCATTAGCTGCATCTATGTACCCCTTGTGCCTGGCCACAAGTTCCCAGCTGACTGTGGGTAGCAGCACTGCTGGAAAAACCGCTCCCAGGCAGGACTAGAACCAGGTACCTCTCGTATCTCAATCATGGTCTTTGACCAACCCACTGTGCCTGCACGCTACAGTAAGACAATACGCATATCACTGCAATTTTCAACCACGAACGATACGTTTTGGCAAGGTACGTGAACATGTACACAGGCCAGTTGTATCCTTCGTAGAAGTAGTCGTAAAATCCCGTCGCTCGTCGTCTCGAACCCAGCAGTGATAAGATGAGCAGGTGCTTTTCAGAACCCAAGCTGAGTGGGACAGCTGTGTACGTGTGTGTTTAGCAGTGAGCGTGGAATCAGCAGAGCAGCGCCACGCTAGTCTAGCAGAGTGCTTCCTAGGTTCCTGGCCTGGGAGAACGAACATGCTGTCCTAAGAGCCAGCTTGATTAGCCTCCTCGTTCCAGTGGAGAGGGGCAGGATAGGATGGTAGGAATCTGTCGAGGTGATTCAACAGCCTGGCAGCTAGTTGTTCAATCCCTGCATGACAATCGCCATCGCAGCGAGTACAGTCTGCTTCTTCGATTTATCTAAAGCCTGTGATACTGTGTGGCACCGTGTGCTGATGGCAAGACCGCGCCATTCTCGATTTTACAATCATAGGAATAAAACAGAGAGAAGCTACAGAATACCACAAAAACAATCATAACTTGGTGCATCTGATTCATTGGTTCAACTGTGTTACTGCTATGCTTGGGATAGTGATAATATCCTGTTCCTTATTTACCTTCGCTCAGGAGGAGTATTTGACAGGTCATTCGCTGCTTGCGTGAAGGAAATTGTCAGAGCCACAACGCAGGGCGAGCTTGGATAAAAGAATAAGATAATGATGGTGCCCTCTTGGTTGATATTAAATTCGGAGAAAATCTGGTTATGTGGTGTAGCCGATGACTGTCTGTGTCTGCGTGTGTATGTGTGTGTGTGTGTGTGTGTGTGTGTGTGTGTATGTGTATATGTGTGTGTGTGTGTGTGAAGGAGAAAAGAAACTTCATAACTGTGTGGTGTAGACCAGGCTGAATAGTGGCGGTCAATTGTTCAGCCTTGCAAGCTGTTGAATGGTGCAATCCCAGCACAAGCTGCTATGGCTTCTGCTGTAGCATCGCTATCATCGCCTCCGGCGATGGGCGTCCAATGGTCCAATGGTGTGTGTGTGTGCATGTGTGTGTGTGTGGTGCCAGCTCGTTCGGTTGGTGGGTACACTTGTGCCGGGGAGTGTTGGGTCTGTTGCCAACGGGCTCGGCTGCTTGAAGGTGTAATGTTGTACCTAGCACCTTTGTTGGTTTCAGGGTTCATATACTTTCTATTTGAAGTATACATACCTGTTAACCATGGACTACTTCTGGCTAGATTAACTCTTGTGTAATCATGGTGCTCGCGATGCTTGTATCAGATCCACTCTGATTTAGCCACCCACACTAGTAGCAAGTATTACCTTCACTGGGGGCAGGGGTAGCTGCAGTTGGATCCCTGGACGGATACCCTGATGCCGTCAATCCTTTTTCTGCACCTTGTCCTCACCCACTTACAGAGGTGTGGTGAGCCCATAAGTGGGATCATTTTCAAGTCCACCCCGAGCTTTGGGGATTTCAGGGGGTTACGGCCGTTGGGCGGTTCAATAGCCAATTGAATCATCTTTGCAAGATTCCTTTTGAGTCTCTCTCCGCTCTCCTGGGGAGACCCACGTGACCAGTTTTGGCAGTGAGCAACAAGTACAAGTACAAGTGTGTGTGTGTGTGTGTGTGTGTGTGTGTGTTGGGTTGAATGTGGGTAAGGATGAGAAAATCAAACAATAAAAGTACACCTAAAGCAAATAATTAGCACTGAATGTTTATTTGTTTGTATACTTTATTTGAATTCGCTAATCCTAATTAGCACATATGCTCAATGACAAGGCAGCGAATGCGTTATTGTGGGTTGGGGAGAAGGGAAGGAGGGTTGGGGAGAACATAATGAGAAAAATGAAGAGAGAATGGTTGATATCTCAATGAAGAGCGATGCGTGTGAATGTAAAGTGTTGGAAAGACGATAAAACATATTGCGGATTAGATGAATGCATCTGCAAAGCCACCAAAATATTACACTTTGCGGTATAATTACAAGCCATAAATGACGTCTACTTGGAGCCCCTGGCCGTAGGGTAAAAATAAAATCCAAAGCTATGCATGGGTATTGGATGGGATGAAAGGAGCTGCATATCAAATTGTGTCATAGTGGGTCTCTTCGGAGCTTGTTCCGACACCGTACGCATCATTCTCCTTCAGGTCGGGCAAGTCAATCTTGTTGGAGAACTGCCCTGGAGCTTTGGTAGTCTCTATCCTGTGCTCCCGTGCACGACGCTTGAGAATGCAAACCAATACCACCGTGGGCATGAGAAACCCAGCAAAGAAGCTTGCAACACCGACAATGATACTTGTGCTTGACGATGCACCGCTTGAGTTGGACGAGCCTGGAAATGGAAGGATGGGTGCGAGAAGGGGGTGGGGTTGGAAGAAGGAAGAAAACACTATCAGTTCGCACAAGATGGTAGTTATCGGTCAAGTCCATGTTCATGCCGCCGACATCCCTTCCGTTTCCGATAAGCATTATTTGCATCAAGGCTTAATGAAACGATAAAGGACAAGACTGCAGTATACAACAATGTACGCACTAGCTAAGCTGCACTAACCGGCTGCTGCTGCTGATCCTTGTTTGCACATAGGAATAGGTGCAGACCAGACACCAGTGGTTGAGCAGTGCAGTAATGCAGTTCCCATCAGATGATAACCGTTGTCACATGCCAGGATGGCAAGAGTTGGAGCCTGTATGTCGTTGAGGAGTGCCACCCCATTCTCTACGCTCGGAAGTACTTCACATGGAATACCTGGGAAAGATGACGCATAGAAGAGGATGGTGCACAAAATCTGATTATTCGATGGGGTGGTTCCTGAACTGCCACGCATCATCCAGGATGTTTTGCACTTTAACACCTGTATGCGGGCATTGGCCTTGTATTCGGTGAGAGGTAAAGATGTGTGTATTTATACAACTGGAGGTAACTGGTATACGAGGTATACATGTAATAGGCATTTGAAATGATGCTCTTTCGAGCCAACCAAAACAATGCCGTCAAGCTACGTACGTATCATTCAATGGGACGGAATGTAGCAACCACTGCTAGAATAGAGCTAAAGTATAAGCTGAATCGCCCACAAGAATGGACCACCGACTTCTTGATCAGGTTGCTGAAAACAACTGCTACTGCCTCTTGCCTAGACCTCACACTAGAAACCTAAACCTGAGTGAATGTGTTCCACAGGAAACGCGTTATAAGCAAGTATGTGTCTCCTGATGATTGATTTTCAGCATGAAGCTCGTGACGAGAAACATTAATTTTAATCACTTTTTGTTCCACCGGATTTTCGATCGTACTAAGCTCCGTATGCCGTGTATTGAGCACTGTGACCCGCTTTGATGCTGTCAATAAAATGCATCCTGACGAATCAGTAAGCACTGATTTGGCACACGAACAACCAATGTAACTCACGAGTACATGTCGTAGTCGGCCAAGTCCCACTGGCTGCGCACGAGACGATGCCACCACCTGTGTACCCACTTTTGCATTGCACGTATATGCTTGATCCAACCAGATAGGGTGGAGTGCCATGAATAACGACACCGTTGGAAATGTTCCAATCACTGGTACAGGTAATAGCTGATGAAGGAATGAACGAAGAAGGTACAAATGATTATCATTATGAACATCACAAGTTCCCACTGCACAGTTCTGAACACAGTGTTTGGTTCAAATATTCATTGCGTTCAAAAAAGGATACGAACAATGCCAAAAGTCTGGGTAAAATTTTATCAGCCTGTGAATATCACTATAATTGAAGTCCTGGTTTTGGCTAAATACCCTATAATCAAAAACCGAATACTGTATATCCTCGTATCGACTAGAATCACCGCCCTGGGATTACGGATAGTTGTCGTATTAGCTTCAGCGGGGTTTAGCACCTCCGTGGTACATGTATAGCCAAATTTCTGGGCATATCCCAAGTCCGGGGTACAGTCAACTTCGCTTATAACGACACTCTGCGGGGCATCAGAAAAGTGTCCTTATTCGCGAAGTGTCGTTGTACCCGAAGTCTCATGATATGTGTCACAGTTGGATGGGATTTTGCTCTGGGCATGAAAATTATGTCGTTATTCGCGAATTGTCGTTACATTCACAGTCGTTATTAGCGAAGTTGACTGTAAATGATATTCTGCTCGGCTGAGTTACCAGATCCATAGAAAGTAGGTAGGTTGCCATAATCACTCACAAGATACTGCAAAGAACGGAACCAACTTTTTCCAGTGATTGGTTTCGGTTCTTTGCAGTGCTGTGGAAATGCGCGTTTCAACTCCAGTTCCTTAAGATACTGTCCCTCGAAATACTTTCTTAGTGTAAGCAGCTTCTCAAACATTATTTCCCCTGCTTCTTTCCTTCATAGTCAGGATGCATTTGACGTGACAAAAAGCTATCCTTAAAGGGGAAGTTAAGGCAAAAATTAAAATTTCACCAGTTGCAGTCTTCGGGGTGCTGAGTCGAATGGTCGTGGTCCGAGAAAGCTGAGACGCTCCCTTCCTACTTGAATCCCAATCGAACTCGCGCACTTCCACCGAAACTGGGTGACTGCGCCCTACTCGATGGGGATTTGTATGCAAAATGTCACTAAAAGCGCCATTTCGTTCTTATAAAAGCACGGATGACCGCGATTGGCCCATATGTTGTAGTCTTTTGGACGCTGAGTCGACTGGTTTTGGTCCGAAAAGGCTGCGATGCAGCGTTCCTCCTTTATTCCCAATCGAACATGGTTGAACAAGCGGTCACGTGCTCCTGGGTGCCCAAATCACCTGGTCACCACGCCAGCAGGCGACAACTTTCACACCAAGGTTCAACTCGAGTTCAACTCGAGTGACAGGACTGCACCCAAAAAAGGTCAAACAGGCTAGTAAGTTGTACCCTTCAGGCACGGTGACCAGGTGACTGGCGTACGCAGGAGCACGTGACCGCTTGTTCAACCATGTTCGATTGGGAATAAAGGAGGAACGCTGCATCGCAGCCTTTTCGGACCAAAACCAATCGACTCAGCGTCCAAATGATCACAACATATGGGCCAATCGCGGTCATCCATGCTTTTATAAGAACGAAATGGCGCTTTTAGTGACATTTTGCATACAAATCCCCATCTAGTAGGGCGCAGTCACCCAGTTTCGGTGGAGGTGCGCGAGTTCGATTGGGATTCAAGTAGGAAGGGAGCGTCTCCGCTTCCTCGGACCACGACCATTCGACTCAGCACCCGGAAGACTACAACTGGTGAAATTTTAATTTTTGCCTTAACTTCCCCTTTAACCCGGAAGCTCGAGTTATGAATATTTTGATGTTTGATGTTACTCACAATGACAGTTGCCCAGTGTGTGAGACCAGGAACCATTGCTGAGACAGGTCGTGGTGTTGGCTCCATGTAGATTGTATCCTACCGTGCATGCTATATGCGCTTTTCCGCCTTGTAGGTAACTCTGCACGATGGCGTGACCATTCGCCACTGTCAGCGGGGAGGCACACAAGTAACCTAGAAACACCGAAACGCATAAATTACATGTACAAGGACGTTGTTCAGCTACTTCATGTACTGAAATGCACGTTCGATGAATTTCTTTAACGCGAGGTGCACGAAGGGCATTCTCACTTTTGATATCCCATTTTAATAGAAAAATTGTATGCAAACAGACAAAAGGAATAATGTAGTGTTAAGATTGTTGCTGTTGGCTTCACTCAAATACATTTCGTTGTAGCTAGGAGTAAATCTGTTCTGCTATCAGAGGGCAATAAAAACACCAATGTCTGATTGTGCCTGACTCACGGGTACACGTAGGAAGCGACGTGGTAGTTGTGTCACTGGTGCACGTGACGATTGGGTCACCACGGAGCTCAAACCCGGAGTGACATTTAGCAGTGTATATTGGTCCGTCTCCGGATGTGCTTCCGTGAAAGATCACTGGTGGAGTGCAGTTGTAAGCTGTTATGCCATCCCAGTCAAACGCGTGGGGAGGATCGGTTCGTAAGAGGAAGAGAGATCCAAAGAAGCTGATTGCAGTTGAAGTAAAAGAATACGTTTGGCCTGGTACAAAAGCTCAGATTGTTAGGGTATTGCTCATGACAAGCAAACTACCCCGGGTTCGAGTCCTGGTGGGTCTAGCATTTTTTTAATCTTTTCAGGCAGTTTACCTCCCCGAATGATCCGTTGAATTTTGAAGTTCGCCCAAACATATATGTAGGACTCAGTGACCAGTCAAGGCCCCGTGACCAATCACGGTCCCCGTGACCAGTCAAACAGTCACAAACCCCCCATGACCAGTCACAAATTAGTTTACCAGTCACAATGCCCCATGACCAGTCACAAATCACCATACATGTACATGTGTAAAGTACACAGTTCGTGACTGCTCGCAGGGTGCTTCGTACTGCAGGATTTGTTGTGGAAACTATAATTCCCTATGACCGGTCACAGAATACAGTTGTGACCACTATAATTCCATGCGAACAGTTACATGCGGAATGTACAGTTGTGACCACTCTTTCTCTGTGAGTAGTCACAGGCAGAATATAGGTATTTCTGTATTACAAGAGAGATTGGAGGCTTTGTCACAACTCTGAGTTTCACGTATTACTACGATCGTCAGGCAACTGATGGCTCCTAAACGGGCAGCCTGAACATAAGGGGGAGCAAGGTGGGAAATTCTGAGGGGTATCATAGGCGACGGGTATTATAGTGCAAGAGTCAGGTGCAGGCGTGAAGTTGCCAAGTCTTCAGACTTGGGGCTATGCAGCAGCAGTTCCAGCGTGAATGACATAGAATAGAGCTGGGGACCACACATGCCCACACCATTACACACACATACACCCACACTCTCTCCCTTTTCTCACATACACTCACACGCGCGCGCGCACGCACACACACACACACTCATTCTCTAAATCTCTCTCTCTCACACACACACACGCACATATGGCATTCATTCTCTACACCACACACACACACACACACCTGGCCTGGTGTACAGCTGCCAAATGCTTAGCCACGCCGCCCCCGAGACAGGGGGAGAGTAGAAGAGAGAGTTTGAGACACACACACACATCCACACACACACACACACACACACACATCCACACACACACACACACACACACACACACACACACACACACACCTGGCCTGGTGTACAGCTGCCAAATGCTTGGCCACGCCGCCCCCGAGACAGGGGGAGAGTGGAAGAGAGAGTTTGAGACACACACACACACACACACACACACAAACACACACACACACACCTTGACCTTGACCTTTGACGCCCATCGCCGGAGGCGCTGATAGCAATGCTACGGCAGATGCCATAGCAACTTGTGCTGGGATTGCACCATTCAACAGCTTGCAAGGCTGAAGAATTGACCGTCACTATTCAGCCTGGTCTACACCATACAGCTATTTTGAAGTGACTTTTTCTGGCCAGTGAATCCCTATTTTTGGTCTTTTCATTTTTTTCCCGCACACACATCACACCACATACTCCGGCATGCACTGGCTGTTGGTAACCACCCAGGAGAATGAAAGAAAAGTCAGGAAGAGTCTTAGAAAGAGAAGAAAGACGTGTGTGACCATGATCGTCGGGAATCGAACCCGCAACCTATCGATTGGAAATCGCTGCACATACCACTGCACCATATGGGACACACACACACATCCACACCTGTTCCTGTTCCTGTTCAGCACTGCCACAAGGGCCACGTGGCTCTCCTTAAGAGAGAACCGGGGAGGAGGGAGGCCGCTGGCATCTGTGTCGGGTGAGGTCGCTCCCGCGGCGAAAACGGCGGCCACAGTCGGGGCAGGACCATTCAAATGTCAATCGTGTTGCTGCAGTCGGGCGATGCGTACTACGGTGGCATTTGTGTCGTGATCTGTCAGACGGTCTGGCGAAACAGCGGTCACATGTGGGGCAGTGAGCTGCGCAACAGTCCCTTGCAATAGCTTGGGGATGGTCTTCACGGGGCTGAGGATCATGGGGTGTGCATTTATGCCGCGATAGCCCACCACGGCTGCGTAGCCACCGTTGACATTGGGGACATTGCACTGCACCGCGCTGCTCTGCTATGGGCTTGGCCCTTTCATCCAAGCACTTGTGACGGCGCTTGTCCGAAGGCCTGCTAAATACGCGTCGGCAGACAAGACATTGCACATTACGCACTGGTGACGAAGCTGGTTCCAGCTCACGGTAGATGTTCCTCCACCCTGGTCGTGACTGGGTATCTTCTGGCCAAGAGTCCTGTACGTCACATCGCTGTAGATCCGGACCCAGAGCGTCTCGCCAGCGCTTTCGTGGGCCGCATGCAGGTCGGGTCTCCGGTCGGCAGCCGAACAGAACAACCCGGGGTGTCCGTTCCATATCCATGCGCATAACGTGGCCAAACCATTCCAAACGGCGTTGCACAATCCGGTCCTTGATGGGCAGGGGTCTGGCATCATTCCACTGCTCCAGGATGGTGGTGTTGCTGATGTGGAAGTCCCAGACGTCAGAGCGTGACACACCCATGATGGTGCGGAGGCATCTCATGTAAAAAGATGACAGCTTGGCAATATCGGCTTGGAGTGGTACCCAGCACTCAGACGCATACAGCAGCAAGCTCAGCACACACGCCTCAAACACTGTTCGCTTGGTGGCCAGCGTTAGATTGTTATCCCGAAACACTGGGCGACTCAGAACGCCAAAGGCACGTGATGCAGCAGCTATCCTGGACTCGATATCCCGGGAGCAGCGGCCATCAGCGTGGATATTAGTTCCGAGGTAGCGAAACTCAGAGACCACCTCCACCGCATGGCCATTCAACATCAGCGGGCGCACATCCTCTTCAGTAACATGATGACCGGTGACCATGAGCTTGGTTTTCTCTAGGTTAACTTTGAGACCGAATGCACCTGCCACCTCAACAAATGCCGTTAGGCAAGTCTCTATTGCCTCCCGACGCGTGGCCATCAGGGCAGAGTCATCTGCAAATTGGCAGTCAAGGATGGAACGTCTAGTGTCTGTGCGGTGTCGTCGGAAGAACAGACGTTGCCTTGCATTAGTATGAATCGGAACACCAGCTCCGGGGATATCTGCGACGCGGGCATACCACCGTTGGAAGACTGCCCACATGAAGATGTTAAATAATGTGGGAGCCATGGAGCAACCTTGACGGAGGCCATTCCTCACAGCAAATGGATCGAGTCTATCACCATCAACGCAAATTGTAGCCTGCATAGAGGTGTGGAAGGACTGAACAATGGATAGGAGACGGGGAGGAACACCAGCTTTCTCCAGTACGCGCCACAGGCAATCCCGACTGACAGAGTCATAAGCCTTGCGGAGGTCGATGAACAGGAGGAAAGCTTTCCCTCGATGTTCAAATGCCTTCTCCACCATCTGGCGGACCACAAATATCATATCCGTACAGGATCGCCCTCGTCGAAAACCACACTGAGTGTCTGGTAAGAAGGACTCAGCCATAGATTGCAGGCGAGTCTGCACAATGCGGGCAAGTACTTTACCGGCAACATCCAAGAGGGAAATGCCTCGCCAATTATCGCAGCGACTCAGACAGGAGCTGATGAGTTTCTTGCTCACAAATGAGGCAATGATTTGCCTCATTGTTTGTATTGTTTTGAACGGCGACGCGATCGAAGCGTGGCGTGCTGGCGGCTGTCAATGGACAGCCCACGGATCACGTTTGGTGTCAGCTCGACTACTATTTACTCTCCAGGACGGTGACAGCGTCTGGGTGACAGTGATGAGTGCGTATGCTCCAACTTTCAGTAGCTCGAAGACCCTGAAGGAGTCCTTCTATGGCGCCCTTCAACAAGCTATCACTGGCGTCCCAGCAACTGAACAGTACATCCTACTGGGAGATTTCAACGCGCGTGTGGGTACACGTTTACATGCTGACGATGACTGGAGTTACGTGCGTGGCCCGTTTGGACATGGAGTGGCAAATTCTTCTGGACATCCACACACACACACACACACACACACACACACACACACACACACACACACACACACACACACACACACACACACATCCACACACACACACACACATTCTCTAAATCTCACACACACACACACATTCTCTCTCTCTCACACACACACACTCTCTTTCTCACGCACGCAGGCACACACACACACACACACACACTCACACATGCGCGCGCACACTTACTCACACACACACACACACACACAAATAGGCAGCGGGACTACCAGTTAGATTCATGTGACCTTGCGGACAAAGTTACGGAGGTAGAACTTGTTTTCATGACGACACTTGGACACAAGTACTTCTGTATTATTATTTTATCTCTTTTCAACCAATCCACAAGCCAAGAAGAGATGCGTAGACGGAAGAACCGTACTCTTGGTGATACTGATCGCAAACATGATTAATTCCTCCAGGCCATTGAGCACCCAATTCTAAACCTTATCTAAGCAAAGCAGCATGCCAGTTCAAGAACATCTCGTCAGACATACATATCGATACATGTCTGGTGCACTCTCACTAACAAGCAGGCATCGCAGGCTACATTCGCACCAGCAATCAAAAGAAGTTGAAGTGAGTGAATATTTCTATAAAATTAATAATTGGAAGACAAATGAAGGTGTGGAGGATCGCCCAAAAACACTGACAAGGAGACAGTAAACGGTACACAGTACTCGTATGCATGTACTTATACACGTTATAGCAGCACAACGAGAAAGACCATGATGCATAATGTTGCATCAATAAATTTTAGAGTTATTTTGGGAGTAGAAATGAAGATGTGTTCGAAGCAGTAAACTGCGTAAGCACTACGTTGAGCCAGAATATTGAAATACAGTTTCCTGCAGTCAAAACAAGACACTCACACTTCTCTGGTCTAGTTCGTCATTCTTATCGATAAACATGACTTGATTTAATTTCTTACGATGGTTCTTGAGAATGGATCAATGACAATGATGTCTTGAATAGATGTCTTCCTGAACGACTTCAACTGAGAGGCAGTTTCAGTTTCAACAAGCTGGACATTGTTTTTCTGTGGAGTCTTCCACAAGAAAGACAGAGCTACACACACGAAGGTGCTTGATGTACTCAGTACCTTCTTGGAAATGAACATATTTTCATTTCCATCTTCATTATATTTTCGTCTCTGCATCGTCGACGATGTCCACTTCTGACTCCGTAATCTTGTCACCCATCCTCTCCAAAAACACAAATCGAGTGCTGCTTGCATGCTGGATCAGTTGAAGTCAGTCTCTGCTCTAGCAAGATCGGCATGCAAAAATTACATGACTGAAAATATTCCGAAATAGCTTTTCTGAACGACGAAGTTTGTTCTTCAAATATGATGAATAGCACAACCTACTAGCCAGAACGTCCTCTCAAAAGAGATTCTATCTGAAGCCTGCAAGATTTTCGACCATCCTTCGTTTTGGAGAGGAGCCCACACACACCAGACTCGAGCTACAAGTAAACTACGCGGAGATCGAGAGTTGATCGAAATCTTTCTTGCTCACTTCTGAAACCTGTGAAGGAAAAAAGTATGCTGAACGCGTGAATGCCTACAGTTGAGTCGTAATATTTTGACGTGGATCCTGTGACCGTTCACAGAGAAAGTCGCGGCTGTTTCTGACTGGTCATCGGGATTCAAACTGGTGTGTGACTTTATGACTGCTCTTCGGGGGTTTGTGACTGTTTGATTGGTCACGGGGATCGTGATCGGTCATCGAGACGTGACTGCTCACTGAGTCCTACATATAAGATACCAATATGATTCTAACAAAAGTCGGAGGAGGATAGTACCATTAGTTTCTTACAAAGGTAGGTTCGCAAGCATTCACATAATATTTACACACTCAGTCTACAAGGCACTTCTCATTATTTCGGTATCGAACGGTTTCGTTCCCTTCTCATCAAGGATAGTACAGGGAATGGCTCAATATGGAAAGACTAACACCTATAAAGCGTGAAGGGAATGAAAACGTTCGATACCGAAATTATGAGAAGTGTCTTGTTCACTGGATGTGTAAAGATTGCGTTAATGGAGTCTACCTTTGTTAGAAAAATACCGATATCAATGCTAGTACATTTTTCATTGGTTTGAGGGAAAGATGCAAGCGGTAAAGTTTCTCGAGAAAACAGTTTACTGTCACCACCAGGACTTACATCAATGATTAGTACAACTTACCTTTACAGAGTATAGGAGGAATGTGCCAGTAACCCTGCTTATCACACTCTGCAGTATTTGCAGATAGGAAAGTGTATCCCGTGTTGCATTCAAAGTACGCCCAACTTGGAAACTTGGTCCCCGACGGGTACGTGACGATCCCATTATTAACTCCCAATGTCTCCCCACATTCTGGAGCACCCACTGAAGATTAAATTTACAGAAAAAGGAAACGTTGGCGTCAGAGATACTAGGTCGATCAGGATCTAGGCCCTATCCTTAAAGAACGATCCTGCTCGAACGCCATTCCGCGTACACGAGAAGTCCACACGTCAACCCTGCAAGAAGGTTCCACCTCCTGCTCGAGGAACAGTGTTGCAGAGAATTCATTGCTCATCAAGTGAGCCTGAGATGGCTGATGAAATCTGTGCTCTTAAAACACTCCAATAAGTGCAAGTTTGTGGTTGGATTTCCAGACTAAAATGTACAAAGTGATAGCACTAACGATACTATTTGTACACAGTAAAATAAGAAAAGGGTTTGCTCCCCACACCGGAGCTCGCGCTATTCCGCCGACTTTACTTGACACTTGACTGACTCACGACTGCCATCCAGAGCACACGAGAAGTCCATCGAACCTTCGACTCGGCAAACCTGCAAGAAAGCACCACTCCCTGCTCAATAGCTCCTTGCAGGTTTGCCGAGTCGAAGGTTCGATGGACTTCTCGTGTGCTCTGGATGGCAGTCGTGAGTCAGTCAAGTGTCAAGTAAAGTCGGCGGAATAGCGCGAGCTCCGGTGTGGGGAGCAAACCCTTTTCTTACAAATCATCGCCGAGGTCGCAACCACTACTTCACACAGTAAAATGCTAAAAAAAATGGCAGGTCAGGTCTCTGTTCCTGGAGAGTCTAGCGGAAGATGGTCTGCACTTGTTATCAATGAGAATATCTGATCCTTACCTTCTGCAGGAATTGTGTTTTCGCAGATAACTGTCGCTGTGGTGGGACACGGCGATCTTGGTGGATAGCATGTTGTTTGGTTTACATCCCAAACCCAGTAGGTCCTTTCTGTTCCAGTGACCGAACGAATGTGTTCCACGTAGTCCCGGTAACAGGTGGCGTTCATTTTGGCTATCGGAACCAGTTCGTATGGATTAGGCGTAACGCTGGTACAGTGCAGCCGCGCCTGGCCCCTTGAAGAATGCATCCATCTGTACGAATCGCTGATCAGGTATAGGCCGTGAGATGTTCGGCAATCGAAGTGAGCTTGAAAAGCACACACGAACAGTGATAACCATTGAATAGAGTAAGTAACTTAGCTGCGCACTCAGTGCAAACACAAAGTAAAACTACTGTCTGTACCTCGAAAACGTTAAAAAGGACTACATGTAGTTATACATGACAAGTAGTTTTTATTATGCCGTATGGTGTTTGTACTCTGGGCGCAACTTACTCTATTTAAAAAAAAAAGTAAATTATCATGTCCGTTCCCGAAGGGAACTCACGACGGCCTCTAACACCCGGTAAACCCTAGCGGCTGATGCAGCGCCTAACGGTGCGGGTGACTTACATCAATTCGTTGTGTTAATATCACTATTGTTTCCATGAATACTATTGCCAATATGAGACGACATTCCCATGGTCAGGAGTGGGTAAGGAGCATGCTGTAATTTATCGCCAAGAACATAAAGTCATGATATATTATTATAACAAACAGTTCTGTGTTCAGTATTTTATAGCAATACCAGAGGGAGAATTTTTTCTTCTCTTTTCAGTCATGCATATGTTACTGTAGGTTGGTTCTCTTCATGTTATTGTAACATAAGCCAGAGCACGCTAAAATATGACCACAGACCAAAAATCCGATTTTCATTTTTTTGTTCAAAAGTGATCAGACACACCTAATGTTCACTGTCTGAAAGTTTTGGATTGATCTGACATGTCTAAGTTTTGCTACAATGGTATTTTATGCAACGGTCTGCCGCTCGAACTTGTGTATGCGGATGATGCAGACTTTGTCAGCACGTCAAAGCACCTCAAAGTCTTGGCTGGCGGACGTGGAGGCGACTACCAGCACGGTGCTACCACAGTGGTCCCTGATCATGAACCGGGACAAAACTGAGTATACGGACATCTTCAGAAGTGCGGACAGGATCGATGAAGAGCGGAGGACAACGCGCAAGCTGGATTTGCTACTGGGCGACGAAGAGGATATTATGCGACGAAAACAGCTGGCGACTGCAGCATTTCAGTCCCTATGGAGCCTCTGGAAGAGGCATCAGCACATCAGCGAGAAGTTGCGTCTGCGGCTGTACAACACTTTTATTATTCCAGTACTGACGTACAACTTGGGTACGTGGGGGGTCAGTGTGACCGTTCTGTCTCGCCTGGATTCCTTCCACCGCCGTCAGCTAAGGTCACTCATCGGTGTGAAATGGCCACAAATAATACCGAATGATGCTCTCTATGCCAGATGCGAAGCTGAACCCTTGAGTGTCATGGTCAAGAGATCACGCTGGAGGCTGTTTGGCCACATCCTGCGGATGGCAGATGAATCCCCAGCTGTTATGGCTATGTTCGCGTACTTCGCCAATCAGCAACAGCAATGCTGGAGGGGTAGACCGCGGACGACCCTGCCGCAGGCATTGGTGGGAGATCTGCGCCAAGCCAATGCCGGATTGCTCGGGAACCTAGACGCTCTGCAGAGCCTGCGAGCCATTGCCCATGACCGACCCGCATGGCGAGATCTATGTATGAAGATCTGTGCATCGTGATATTCCGACAGATCCTGAAACAGTCAAACTCAGGGAATAGCACTATTATTATCACTAAGGCTGCAATATTCAATGACATAATGACATATCTTCAATACCCATGAGCTACATTGTATATGATAATTATATCATTATATCATCGTTCTAGCTCAATTTCTTTCCCCTGTCATAGTCCTGTTTATCATGTTCAGCATAAGCGAAGTTGTGGATCATGCTTGTATGGTTGACTCCAACGCGTACATGCAAGTAATAATACATGTAATAATAATTGTTGAAATGGTTAAATTCTACGTGCAGCAATGGGATTGGCATTTTTGTATACAGTTTATATGTCCCTTGGTTCATCCTTTCTGGGTTGTTCCTCTGTCTAGGGTCTTATAGTATGAATTGTACACTGATTTGAATCGGAATTATCTTCTTTCTTAGCCATGGGCCATCGTGGAAATATGGAATTAAAAAAATTTTGTCATCGTTTCCAAGACTTACCAACATAGTCATAGAATATGTGTCGAGCTTCGCTGCCTTCGCAAATCAGCGATGCCACCGAAAGCAGTATCAATGCACAATACATCATTGCTTGGAGTTTGCCAGAACTGCCACAGCTACAGATTATAATAATTATAATCTTTATGGGCAAGTGTGTAATATCGTATAATATTCGAGAGATCCGCGGCAGCATCGCTTGAATGTTCAGAACAACACAAACTGCTAGCCTTCGCATCCGCATCCGTGTATGCCTGTACACCTTAGTGGCGAACGCAGACCTCACGAGTGTGTCAGACGAGAGGTGTCAATTCTTTTTTCCTACAAACCGCCTATAGTCTCCCGGAGTTCTGAGGACATGCACGCAGTCATGTGGATAGAATGTCGTAACAATTCGGTGATGCATTAATTGAGCCAGGAAGCCTTGCACTCAAACCCTATGGCTGTGCACAATGTACATCACACCCCTTTGCACACTGGCGAGCACGTATATACTCTCACACCTACATACATAATTTATGAAATACACACCGTGCAATGATGCTATTGCTCCGTGCAATGTTAGCATCAGGAGTTGCAGTATTTCCTGTGGCGAGTTAGATCGTTGAGCTGCAGGTAGTCCCTGCCACAGCCGTAAATGAACGTTCTAGGCTTTGGCGCAGCCAGCCGAGGACGAGTGCACTTGCGAAAAACACACACACACACACACACCATTGGACCATTGGACGCCCATCGCCGAAGGCGATGATAGCGATGCTACAGCAGAAGCCATAGCAGCTTGTGCTGGGATTGCACCATTCAACAACTTGCAAGGCTGAAGAATTGACCGCCACACACACACACACACATACACACACACTGCGCGCACTGCCATGCCTGGTGACGCGAGTCTCCACTGAAGAGGGGAGTGAGATTTATAACATACACACACACACACACACACAAGCGCGCACACACACCTTTTGACCTTTTGACGCCCATCGCCGGAGGCGATGATAGCAATGCTACGGCAGAAGCCGTAGCAACTTGTGCTGGGATTGCACCATTCAACAGCTTGCAAGGCTGAAGAATTGACCGTCACTATTCAGCCTGGTCTACACCATACAGCTATTTGAAGTGACTTTTTCTGGCCAGTGAATCCCTATTTTTGGTCTTTTCATTTTTTCCCGCACACACATCCCACCACACACTCCGGCATGCACTGGCTGTTGGTAACCACCCAGGAGAATGACAGAAAAGTCAGGAAGAGTCTCAGAAAGAGAAGAAAGACGTGTGTGACCATAATCATCGGGAATCGAACCCGGCGCAACCTATCGATTGGAAATCGATCACACACACGCACACACACGCACACACACACACACACACACACACACACACACACACATAGGTGTACTACTAGTATTGTGTGCTTCTGGCGTGTGGCAAACTTCCGACAGTACTTACCTAGGAATACAGTCGGAAGTTTGCCTGCTGCTGATGTCATGTTTCTGGTATGTTCCTGGATTACAGGGATGGTCTTTACCCTACAGCTGCATTGATGGGAAGTGATTGCAATATTGTGGAAGGGACTGGTATGGAAAAGAAGTTACCAGAGAGGACAGCAGGTGCGGGCTGCTTGCACAGGTGGATTGACAGCGCTTTTGCACCAGCAGCGACGCTAGCTTGCTTCTTCAATCTGTCAGCTCATGCAGTAACAGGATGGCTTTGGAACTAACCCTTACAAAGTGGACGTTTTTTTTATCTCACGATCGGAGGTAATTCGATTGAGATACCACCGTTGTCACTATTGTAGCGCTATCGCAATCTCTGACGAACGCCCATGTCCAGCTGCACTGCGAAAATCCTTACATGGCAATCAGAAGATTGAAGTATTCCGACCTTCTGTAAATGTATACCCCGCAGTTCCATGCATACAGTTCAACTGTAGGCTCTACTGGCACCACGGACAGATCGATTATGATACATGTAGGCCAGAGTCGCTAAACGGAACTCAAGCACAATCTAACGTGCACACTACAGGACGGCAGCGGACCGGACCAGGAGAGAACGAGCGCAATCTCTCTTCATCTACTGAATGACCGTGTTCCCTTTTTAGTTCCGGACCCCGGATTTAAGCTTATGTATAGTCTGGAATATACCGCTAGCATGACATACTTCCTCTTGTATAGTATTAGCTACTATCAACTGTACGTCAGATTCGAATGCTTCACCTAACTTTTTTCCTGCATGTGAAGAAGATTCTTGCAGGTTTTCCGAGTGGACGGTTCGATGGACTTCTCGTGTGCTCTGGATGGCAGTCCTGAGTCAGTCAAGTGAGAATTCAAGTCGGCAGGAAAACCGTGAGCTCCCATGTAGGGAGCAACGCACGATTCCCCTAGCTAGTATCGCCGATGGCGTACGAACCTCTTCTTCACATTGTTGTCCCCAGGGCGGGCTTGCGAATTAGATGGTTTGAAGGCAACAGCGGTGTGAATGGCCCGTGGTCCTCAGCGCTTGTTTAGCACCTCCATGAGCGACACTAACTCACGCTGCTATCTGGTGTTCACTCGGCGAGGTGCTTTTCGCGCTGGAAACGGAGCGTCTCTGTAAGTTTGTATCCCTGGTGAGCACTATATAAGTGGTGCTCTTCAAGCACAATCTTCCCCAGCCTACCCAAGCTCAACTGATAAGGGCCCGGGGTGCATTCCCCGAGACACTGGGTATAGAGGAGGGAGTGGTGCTTTCTTGCAGGTTTGCCGAGTGGACGGTTCGATGGATTTCTCGTGTGCTCTGGATGGCAGTCGTGAGTCAGTCAAGTGTGAATTGAAGTCGGCTGGAAAACCGCGAGCTCCCATGTAGGGAGCAACACACAATTCTCCTAGTATCGCCGAAGTCGCACCAACCTCTTCTTCACATTCCATAATCGGCCGAAATATCGGCCGGGTGACAATAGTCAGGGCCAGGCATTTGTCCCTACTACTTCACATGACTGTACAGCATGCTCCTAGGGCCTAGGCGAGGGCTCAACGGAATCCGATCTTCGGGCGTCTTACTATTTTGCGGAAGAGAATTGGCCCGTCATTTCTCAACTGATGCCGCCTATTATCAATGTAACTGCCTTCACTACTGTATTCATATGTTGACCTACTCCATGTTCAATATTGGCGTGTTCTGCGGATTTTTAGGCATGCTGGGCAATTTTCTTAAAATTAATATCCTGCAATATTATTTTTGTATTAGCGCGACTACTACAGTAGACTCATACGCCCAAGAACGTCCAGGCTGGAAATCTAAGAACGCCCCAGCCTGGATTTAAGAACGAACTCCAAGATTTTTAAGAACGCCACATTTTTCCTTCATGATCTTGTCCGAGTACACGAAAAACAAGTCCGCAACCACAAACTCTTGTCGCCGATGTCGGGTCCTCGCGAAAACATTACCCAGTGCAGCGCTACATACTACACGTGCAGGTAAAGTGTACAACCGGTACATGTACATGATGTAGCGCAAAGTGCATTATGGTACGTACTTCAGTACATGAGCGTCACGGGTCATGTTCACATGTTGGACGCGTTAGAACGCGAAATAAGAACGTAGCCTCGTAGGCTCGTAGCCTGGGGCGCTGAAAAATAAGAACTTTGCTAGCTCTCTGAAACCGCGTTCTTGCAGTCCGTGCGCCAGATTCAAAATATCGCACTCTATCCGTGTTTTTTATTTTCCAGAGTCAGTGGACTTTGAACTTTTTGAGAATTGTTAGTTTCTAGTCATTGCAAGGTGGGCCTTACAAGGCCCTTTTGCGTTCGAGTTCAGACCTGACACGCCGTCCATCGCCGGATAAGGCAAACTTCTATCCTCAGTTTCGAACGTTTTCTCGCTGGGTGCTTCTGTCCAATGCAGCATCACGTCTTCTCCGACTGTCGAAATTTGAATTTTTCTTTACGCAGGACTTTAGTTAAGTGCTATCAAGTATTCCAGGCACGCGTAGTAACACCTACTACAACATCCAGAAGAACACGCCTTAGTCTTTTAGTATGTGGTCTCTCGCCGGTGTCCAAGACCAAATAACACCACACGGACCAATTTTCTAACCTCTGTTTTTCTCGCTATTTACATGTATATGGAGGACAGCTGCAAGCATGTAGCACTCACAATGAACACATCAGGACGGTGTAATAATGCCACTCAGCTACACCCTGGGCGTGTATGCATTCCTGTCTGCGAGTTATGCCAAGCAACTCGTCTGGACACCAGTGCACACATCCGACAAATGCAGAATATTGGAATATTTTGGTAAAATAGTGAACGGCGAAAGACAAAAACCCAAATTGCAGCCACGTACAGACTAATATCCACATACGCTGGCCGTGTAAAGGAGTGTCAATGAGAATCTTCATTGCGTTACTACAGAAGTGTATGAAACGGAATGTAGCGGACGAGCTCAAAAGTGCACGCCGAGCCAATATAGGCGGCATTGCAGCACATGTAAGACAGTTATGGACAAACAGGCACAGATGAAGTGTTCCCACTATGAAACGGTCTCAGCAGTTCCAAGGACTAAGAGTATGGCAATAGCATAGAATGATGTCTTTTGCAAGAAGTGCTACGAGACACAGTAAGAATGGATAATAGTTGACAGCAGTGCAAGCATTCACAACAAAGCTATTACAGCTGATCGCTTGTCACATTCAGATCTGCGATAATCCTCTGGCTGAGCTAACAGCAGTACTGGGAGAACACATGGATGTTTGCACACTAGCACAAAGAAGCGAGTCATTCTCCTTCTGCGGAAAGGCTGCAATACCCAAGGTTCTCTTATTGCTGTTCTCACACAATGCCAAGACGCGTTAATACCCAAGGTCCTCTTCGTGCTGTTTCCACACAATGCCAAGACGCGTTAATACCCAGGGTCCTCTTCGTGCTGTTCTCACACAATGCCAAGACGCGTTGGAGCACGATCCACCTGAGAAGACACACATATCGCACAAGAGAAGGCAGTATTTTAAGTTTTTAACGACAGTAGGAATAATGCATGAAACACAGAAAGTAATTCAATGGAAAGAAGTGCTCCGCTCTTTATATACTACACTTTTCCAATGTTATACAGATAATACACTGAACTCCATGGAAGTGGATTTGGTTGTCCCTATTATTATAATTGCAGTGGGTGCTGCTTCACTTGAACCATATTTTGGTTCCAGTGAAGCAGCACTCACTCCAACAATTTGCAGAAAAATTTCTCAATCGCATCGTTGCGCATCACGTCGCAGAAGTGATATCATGCATCGCTTTAGAATGTTGGCATGGCTGGGCATCACTGCCGGTAGTTCTGCCAAGAAGACGTAACCCGGATAATTAACCCCTGGTGGA